AGCATGAGATGCTTAGTAATGCAACCTACTTAGGAGTTTCACTTGGGTCAATGGGAAAGCAGATGCAAAATCTATTAATCATTTATTAGACTTGGAGGCTGAGAGAGCAACTGAGATTATTTGCAATATTGCGGTAGTCAAACCTATGAATGAGAGTGAGATCAATAGTTTGGGACTTTCATGCCTAGAGGGCTTGTGTGCAGACCTAGCTCCTTCTTCGGAGGCTGAACAGTTATAAGGAGTAGAGCCCAAGGGAGATAGAGTCCATGTCCCACTAGAGAGTATAACACAAGCTGCTACCAGTCTCGCGGACGTGAACATGATGGCGGATAAACCAAAACGTTCCCGGAAGAGGAAGGTTTATCCGACATCAGCAGTATGGAGAAGTGTGAGGGTCAAGCATACAAAAAAAATCATGATGACCAATGAAAGGAATTTTTTGGAATAGCAGAGGTCTTGCTGACTTGGCTAAAAAAAGTTCCTTGCATATGCGTCAGTTGAGCACAAATTAGATTTTATTGCCCTCACCGAAATTGGTAGAGATAACTTCACCTCACAATTCCTAGGGATCTTATCAAGTGGAATTGATTTCGACTGGCATTGTTTGCCTCTTAGAGGATGATCCGGTGGGATCTTATTGGGGGTGAAGTGTGAAACTCTAGAGGTCATCAATGTGGTGCAAGGAGATTACGCTGTTAAATTTTGGGTGAGATCCAAATTGGATGGTTTTAGGTGGGCTCTAGTGGCCGTGCATGGCATAGCCCAACCTGAATTCAAACCTAACTTCCTAGCTGATCTAGTTAGGATATGTGCGGAGGAAAGGTTGCCAATTTTAGTTGGAGGTGATTTTAACATCATCAGAAGGAGAGAAGAGAAGAACAATGATAATTACGATGGCCAGTGATCATTTATGTTTAATGTGATTATTGAAAGTCTCAACCCGCGAGAGATCGAGCTTACGGGTAGATAATTCACGTGGGCAAACTCTTTACCTATTCCGACTTATGAGAAGTTGGACAGAATGCTGACTAGTGTGGAATGGGAACAAAAATACCCTTTGGTATCGGTGCATGATATGCAACGTGCAATCTCTGACCACACACCCTTGTTGCTGGACTTGAGTGAAGCGACTCATATAGGAAACAAGAATCTCTTCTCTTTTGAACTAAGTTGGTTCGAAAAGGGGGTTCTTGGATATCATTGCAAGGGAATGTGCTAAGCCTGTTAGTGGTAAGTACCCTATTGAACGGTGGCAAAATAAGATCCGACATCTTCGACAATTTTTAAGGGGTTGGGCCAGAAATGAACGTGGGTTTTATAAGCAAGAAAGACATACTAATCCAACTGATCGACACTTTAGATCTCAAAGCAGAATCTAACCTTCTCAATAGGTTTGAGCAAGCCACTAAGGCTGAGGCTGAGCACCAACTCCATGTTCTTCTTAGAGAAGAAGAAACGAAGTGGGCTATGCGTGCGAAGGTTCTCAAAGTCATGCAAGGGGATGACAATACTCAATTTGTCCACATGATTTCAAATGGCAAGCATAGGAAAAAGAAAATCATCTAACTAGAGCGGGATGAAGGGACGGTCGTGGGGCATGAGAACCTTAAGCTTTATATCTCCAACTATTATAAACAACTCTTTGGGCCTCCTGTGGAAAATGATGTGTCCCTCGACGAGCTCGTGGTTGAGGACATTCCTCAACTTCGGTCAGATGAAAATGAGATTTGACTACACCATTTTGAGACAAAGAGGTGTTTGAGGCGATTTCACAAATGAACCCGAATAAGGAACCAGGACCAAATGGGTTCCCTGCCGAATTCTATAAGAAATGTTGGCATACTATAAAAGGAGACCTATTACCCATGTTCCAGGACTTTTTCAATGGTCACTTGCAATTATTCCATCTTAACTTTGGAATGATAGCTTTGTTGCCAAAGAAGGACGGAGCAGTACGTAGAACAGTTTAGACCGATATGTCTTCTCAATGTGATTTTCAAAATATTCATGAAAGTTGCAACTAATAGATTAACTCATATTGCCCACTCGATGGTGCAACCGAGTCAGGCGACTTTAATGCCTGGGAGACACATCCTAGAAGTGGTGGTTGCCTTACATAAAACTCTTCATGAAATTCACTCGAAGAAACTATATGGGGTAATCTTCAAGGTGGATTTTGAGAAGGCATATGACAAGGTCAAATGGCCTTTCTTACAGCAGGCAATGCGCATGAAAGGGTTTGATGAAAAATGGAGGAGGCAGGTGGACTCCTTCATCCAAAAGGGTAGTGTTGGGATTAAGGTGAACGACGACGTGGGTAATTATTTCCAAACTCGCAAAGGCTTAAGACAAGGGGATCCTATGTCTCCTATTCTATTCAATATTGTGGCTGATATGTTGGTCGTGCTCATATGCAGGGCCGAGGAGAATGGCCATGTAGGTGGACTAGTACCCCATCTGGTTGATGGTGGGGTTTTCATCTTACAATATGCTGACGACACTATTATTTTTATGGAACATGATATTGCAAAAGCTAGGAATATGAAACTAGTACTTTGTATTTTCAAACAAATGTCAGGGCTTAAGATTAATTTTAACAAGAACAAACTGTTCTGCTTTGGTAGGGCCAAAGAGGAGCAAGATGCATATAGGCACTTGTTTGGGTGTGAAATGGGATCACTACCGTTTAGCTATGTAGGGATCTGATTCACCACCGCAGACTTACTAATAAAGAATAGAAATGCATCGAAGATCAATTTGAGAAAAAAAAACTAAGCTACTGGAAGGGTAATCTTATGTCCTATGGAGGTCGGATGGTGCTAATTAACTCGGTACTTACCAGTATGCCGATGTTTCTATTATCTTTCTTTGAAGTACCCAAATCGGTACGGAAAAGGTTAGATTTTTATATGTCTCGATTCTTCTAGCAGTCTGATGAGGTTAAATCATAGTACTACTTGGAAAGATGGGATATCATTTGCAGACCCAAGGACCAGGGGGGCTTGGGATAGAAAACCTGGAGGTTTAAAACAAATGCCTACTGAGCAAATGGTTGTATATGTTATCAGTAGAGACTAAAGGAATGTGGCACAACTTTTCTGAAAAAAATATTTACACTCTAAATCTCCGGCCCAGGTTACCGTGAGACCTAATGACTCGCTATTGTGGAAGGGGCTAATGAAGATAAAAGATATCTTCTTTCATAGAGCAAAATTTGTTGTTGGTGCTGGTACCACAACAAGATTTTGGGAGGACACATGGTTAGGGGAATGCCGCTAGCCTTACAATATCCAACCTTGTATAATATTGCGCAACGTAGAGGTGACTACGTGGCTACAATATTACAAGCGGTACCGTTAAATATCCAGTTCAGGAGGTCCTTAGTTGGGGAGCGTTCGAACTCCTGGCTGCACCTTTTGAGAAGATTGATGGATGTTCAACTCTCCGACCAGCCCGACGCTTTTCGAGTAGAAGTTAACTGCAAATAGGGTGTTTGCGGTAAAATCTTTATACTTGGATCTAATCAACTCTGGCCCAATCCCAAGATCGATTCATATTTGGAAGATCAAGGTTCCCTTGTGAATTAAATTTTCACGTGGTTTGTCCACAAGCAAGTGATCCTTACCAAAGACAATTTGGTTAGGCGAAGATGGGTAGAAAGTGCACGTTGTTGCTTCTGTGATCGAGATAAAACGATACATCACCTTTTCATTGACTACCATCTCGCTAAGTTGCTTTGGCGTACCACTCATATAGCCATCAATATTACTCATCCAGACAACATTGAAACGTTATTTGAGACGTGGTTAACTGGAGTAGACTCGGCTATTGTGGCACAACTTCGGATAGGAATATGTGCTTTATTGTGGGCTATATGGAACTGCAGGAATGATATGATCTTTAACAGACAAAATATTTTAAATTTCTTGCAGGTCATCTTCAGAGCTACGGCATGGATCCGTACGTGGTCGTTACTCACTCCTACGGCCTTCAGTGAGCCTTTGGTTACTGGGTGCAACCGTTAGGAGATGGTAGCACGGGGTATTTTCAACCGGTTTGGATGGCGCCCATTAATAGGATAGGTGTCTAGTCATCTTATCATGTTTTTATGCCGGTTGTGGATTTTTTAATTCAGACTTTTGTTTTATTTCACTCCGCTAGTGAGCTGGACTATTTTCAGACTTTGTACTCCATTGGAACATTTTAATATGGCCGTATGCATCTATCTGATGCAAAGGCCGGGTGATCCTCCTTCTAAAAAAATCCATTGGCCGAGTTGCTCCAGCGTTTTCACCGACAACACATTTGTTAGCAATCACTTCTATGTTTCTCTTGCCGTCGCAGAACATCCTGTTCAAGTAAGAGCACACTCTACTTGACCATCTTAATTTATACTTCCTCATAATTCGTGATGTGATAAGATACCATAAATAAAAAACTAAAAAAATGTTTGGCTTGCAAATGTAGTAATTCAGTGATTTTTGGGAGATATGAGATAAAATTGCTTCAGCATGTAGGATATTTTCATCTAGCAAATCCAATAATTGTGGGGAAAACTTTGTTTTTGCCGCTCTAGTTTTTGCCCACTTTACTTATGCCACTCTAGAATTTGACATTTTGCTTTTGCCACCCTTAGCTTTTGACAATATATCACAATTGACATTCCGTGGCAAAAGCAAAATTTTCAGAGTGGCAATTGTGATACATTATATAAAGATTAGAATGGCAAAAGTGAAATAAAAATTGTTGATTTTGCCATGTAATGGCATTTGCGATGTATTGTCAAAAATTAAGAGTACCAAAAGTGAGATGTCAAATTCTAGAGTGGCATAAGCAAAGTGGGCAAAAACTAGTGGCAAAAACAAAATATTCCTATAACCATGTACGATATTCAGTTCAGTACAAGTGCAGGGTAGTTTCTTCTCACACTTAAGTATACAGCTGTATTTCTTCTAGCGTAAATCACCGGCAAGGTCCTTTTGTTGTTTTTACTGCATCGTTCATGGATTTGTATGCACATATCTAAATGCTCCTTGTACAGAGAAATCGATGTACATGTAAGGTTTATAATGCAAATATTAGCACCATTGGCTTTGCGGTGAGATTAATCATTCTGAATTATCCTTTTGACTCCAATGAATTATCATTACCAGGCCCATTGTCTTTGCAATCTGTTCTATTTTAATTCAGTGTGACGTGTTTTTCTCATTTGTTGGTCAGTCCATTATTCGTGTCTCTTGCCAATGCTATGGCTATTGTATTTATTTCTATTGGCATACATTGTGTGAAGAACAACGAGTTGCTTCAATGCCACTTTGTCATGGACTCATGGTGGATGAAGGGGTCGATGATTATAGTGAGCTTGGCTTTTGAACTGGACATGGTTGGTTTGATTTTCATTTTTGTGCATGTGGTTTCTGGTTTGTAGGCTCAAGTACTCTATTCTTTTCACATCTGCAATGATGCCTAACTGTTTTTTCATGGTGTCCCTTTCATATTTCTGTAGATGTGATTGTATAGCAACGGCGGTATCACCAGCTATCACCATCAATGTGAAAGGACGTCCAACATTGAAGAGAACCTTGCGACTAATACAATGTCTCGCTTGCTTTACTCTGTGATAACCACGGCTTCGAGATTTTTCTTATGCATGACCTGAATTTCTCATGCCGGGAGTATTCGCAAAAAAAAAAGCTTCGCTTCTAATTGTGTTTTCTCATTTCCAGGGAGGTGGCTACAATAGCTATTTGGAGTGAAAATGTTGAAGCTTTTGATGCAGACATACTTATTCATTAGTTCCAGGGAATAATAGGTGAGGCCTGCCAATGTCATCTTAGATATTTCTCGCAAAAAAAAGTCATCTTAGATATAGTGAAGGTTGTATATTTTTAGTTAGACTATTTGTATGCATTTGTTATACAAATCATCATGGTGGGATGGCAAGCAAATCATACAAATACCTTCACTCTACAAACTTTGTCATCTTTTCCCGAGTAGATATTTCATCCAAGAGTTAAATAGTTTTTGTACGAATTTTTACTATGTTCTTCCGTAATGACAAACTTTGGTGTTTGCACCTTCATTTTCAAATAAACCTCTAATATCTAGAGATGTTACTGGCTTGAAGTGAGTTATTGTAGAATTGTTCAGGTAGAATATTTTGTTGTTGAAAGTTAAAGACATCTTGGTTGCATGTAATAGTCAACATTGCGTCCCCATTTACAAGTAAAACGGTGCAGCAAAGCGCGCGTCTGCTTCTAGTCTTATACCAAGCACGCTACCCGCTTGCTCGCCGGGGCGACACACGAACACGGAGCGGGCCATCCATTTTAAGCGTGAGCATCGGGCGGTACCCCATCATCGAGTCGCGCTCCCACATCTCAAACCTGTAGAGGCAGAGAAGAACAGCCGCAAATATCTTCATCTGCCTATACGCAAACTCCTTCCCCAGGCAGATCCGAGGCCCCGCCTATGTCAAACAACAGCACAAGCATACACGTCACGTGAATATGGATAACTCTATCTGAGCCAGGTCGTCGTGTAGTCCTGTGATGATTTAGTTATGTGTCCCACCTGGAATGCCGTGAACTTGTAGGGGCTCTCCGGGACGAACACGCCGTCGCCGTCGAGCCACCGATCCGGCCTGAACTCCTCGGCGTCGTCGCCCCACAGGAACTTCATCCTGCCCATCGGGTACGGCTGGTAGGTCACCATGTCCCCTTTCCTCACGGCGTGGCCGTCCGGCAGCGTGTCATCAGAAAAGCAGTACTTGACATCCTACACCAACAAAACCATACTAATCGTGACGTCCGGGCCACATAGCACACAAGGAAATTAATGCGCCAGGGATCGGGTCAACTCACGATGGGCACCGCCGGGTACAGCCGGAGGGTCTCCGTCAGCGCGGCGTGGAGGTACGGCATGTTGCTGATGGCGTCTTCTGTCAGGCACGCCGTGAGTTCTTGGACGCCGACGTCCCGGTCGCCGCTGGTGGCCTCGCGCACCTCCCTCGCGATTTTGTCCTGGATGCGCTGGTTGCTGCACAGCACGTAGAGGAACCACGACAGCGTCCCCGCCGACGTGTCGCGGCCGGCGATCACGAAGTTCAGTATGATGTCCCGGAGGTACTTGTTGTCGAAGCAGCCGGGGTCTTTCTCCCTCTCCAGCAGGAATCTCGACAGTATGTCCTCTTTCTTGGCCTGCCAAGTCAGTAAATGTCACGACGCCAGGCCAGATTTGGTACTGCCAGGCGGCGATGCGATGTTCGCAAGAGGAAAAGAGCTTACGAATTCGTGTTCATCTCTGCCCATCTGCTCGACCTTCTTGTCGATGACGGCGTACACGAAGTCGTTGATGGTGCGCACCGACCGCTTCATGGCCGCCTCCGACGAGACGTTGAGGAGCCTCTTGGCCTTCCAGAGCGGGTCGAAGAACCGGTACAGCACCTGCTCGTTGGCGTCGTCGAACGCCCGGGCGAACGCCGCGCTCTCCTGGCTGGACTGGGACAGCCCGCCCAGGTTGACTCCGAACCCAATCGTGAAGATCGAGTCCAGCGTCGACCGCATGAACAGATCGTGCATGTCCACCCTCTCCCCGGCGGCGGCGGCGGCGGCCACGATGCCCGCGAGCTCGGCGGCCGTGGTCCCGGAACACGCCGCTGCTGTACTCGCGGAGCACCCGGGTGGAGAACTCGAAGCTCGCGACCTTGCGCTGGTGCCGCCACATGGCGCCGTCCACGTTGAAGATGCCGTCGCCGAGGAGGTCCTCCAGCACGTCGTGGGTCATGGTGCCCTTGCCGTAGTTGGCGAAGTTGGTGCGGAGAATGTACTCGACGTTGGCGGGCTCGACGGTGTACACGTAGTTGCAGGTCGGGGTGAGCATGCGGAAGGTGCGGTACCTCTGGGAGAGCTCCGTCTGGTACTCGGCCAGGCGGCCGAAGTTGAAGAGCTGGTGGAGCATGGTGCCGGCCACTGGCGGGTAGTTCCGTCGCTTGCCGAGCAGGGCGTGGCGCGCCAGGTACAGGGCCAGGAGGAGCAGCGAGAGCGCCAGCAGCGTGGGCTGCTGGCTCAGCGGTGGATCCATGGCCGTGAAGCGCCGCTCGGTCACGGTGCGGAGGACGCCGGGTGCGTCGCCGGGCGTGCTGGCGTGTGCAGTGTGGATTGTGGAGAATGAAGGCTTGGACGCGAGTGCGGTGCACATGAACGGGCAATTTGGTGCCGGGTGTGCGCCTTGTGTTCGTCTTCTCGTTTTCAATACACGTGAAGAAGACGCAAACCAGATCGTTGAGTCGACGTGCCGTTTGAGTTAACTATAATGACGACAACGAACACATATAATACAGTAAGAAAGTTTGGAACGAAAAGGAATAGCCAAAACCTCAGAAAAATCCAACAGTTGCGTTGTAAATTGTAAACCCCACATCATGATTCAGGACAAGCCAATTGGGTGCTTAAAATAGGCAGAAGTCAGATCTGAATAGGTCATCGCTTCGTTTCGTCTGCTTCCACTTCCGAGTAATCTCATTGTTAGAGAAAAAAACGAGAGCCCTCCCTCAAAAAAAAAAAACGAGAGCCCGTGGAGATATCCTTTTTGCCTTTTTTCTTTCTTCCTTTGCACCCACACATAATATTAATCAATGTGCGTCTTCGTTTCATACGAGCGATTATTGAGAAAGGGCGATGATAGGCGTCGGTGCGTCAGCCCAAATTTAGGCCAGTCGCTGCCCTACTGTTCGATTCGCCCTGTTACAGCCGTCACATACTGGTCCTTCTCCTTCCTCCCTTCTATCAAGGCACGTGATCTGGAAACAACACCCCCCCCCCTCGGTGTTCGCCGGCCATCGCGTTCATCCCCCTTCCCGCCCATGCTCGTCGGTAGCGACCCCAACCCTCCATTGCCCGCCGTTTCGCCGCTCCTACTCGCCGGCCACTCGTGTCGACCACGCTTATCCCCCGACCGCCCCATGCTTCTGACATTGGTGACTGCAACTCACCCCGTCGGCCGCCCTTGCCACAAACTGGTTCGCTGGCATGGCCAGCCGCCCTTGCCGCAAACTGGTTCGCCGGCATGGTCGGCCGCCCTTGCCGCAAACTGGTTCGTCAGCATGGCCGACCGCCGCACGCAACATCGTTGGCCGCCGGTTGCAGCTCGATGCACGTCGTTCGTGCGTGGCCAGTCACCGTCGCCGTCACACGCCCTTGCAGCTTTTCTCAACGTCGATTCCAGATTTTGTGTCGCCGGTTCCAGCAAATTTCCTTCGTCCCAGCCACTTGATTCACCGGTTCCAGCTTTTTACTTCGCCAAAAGAAGCTTTTCTCAACGCGGGTGGAAGCTTCGCAGTGCCAGTTGTAGCAAAATCAGTCGTCGTCATAGAACCACACCCATTCCGGTTGCAACATAAAATTCTGCCGGTTCCAGCTTCTAAGACTGCCGGTTCCAGCAAAAATAGCTCGTCGGTGCCCCAACCCCATCGCTATTGTAGCAAAATCGATCACTGGTTGTAGCAAAATCGAACACCAGTTGTAGCTTTTGTGATTGCCGGTTGCAGCTCGCCGCATGGCTGTTTCCAGCACGCCAAGCAGTCGGTTCCAGCAAAACTCCATGGCAGGTTGCAATGTCGCCGTAGCAATTCTCCCTGGCTGTTCCAACATCTACCTTTGCCGGCCGCCACGGAGCAGTAAGAGATGCAGTTGAGAGAGGGAAAATTGAGGGGAGGACACTGGCTTGGGGGTCGGCTTCGGGAGTGCTCGTCGGAGAAGAGGAGGGGGGTTCGCTGGAGGAGATTGCCGGATCGAACTTCCATGGCAACCGGGGAGGTCGGGAAAAAGAAAGAAGACTCGGGAAAGGGAAGGAGAAGGACGCCGGGGTGGGGAAAGATATAACATGGTGGGCCCTTGCGATTTGATTCGTTGTAGCCAGCGCGCCGAACACAAGCGTTTTCCATTGAGAAAACAATTTGAAAATCAAGCATCGGATTAATTTGAAAATCAAGACATGAATGTAATTAATTAGCAAAATTAACTACGTGTGCAATTAATTTGGTCCACCTAGAGATTTTTTGGTGCCGAATTAATGGAAAACCGAGTCATTAATGCAATTAATTGATTAGGCATGCAGTTAATTTAGAATGCATATAATTAGAGTGATGTAGAGATTTTTTTCTCAATTAAGCATGGAATTAATTAATTAGACAACCACTTAATTAAGCCCGTGAGTAATTAGACAACCAATTACTTATGCATGTAATTAATCAATCAATTAATTAGAAAGATATTTAATATGATCAAATCAATTTGAATGCGCTCAGGCTCTCGTTGACGTTGGCCATGGCTAGCAGGCTCATAACTATATGGTCGACCAACCTTTGTTAACATAAACAACGGTCACCATGCGCTCACGACATGTGTGACCAAGCGTTGGCCAAGATGGATGACAACCGTGATCTACACAATATCCACATGCTGAGATTGCGAAAACGTTCGTGTGTGAGGACCACAGTCGACGACGCTCGCGCGCCGAAAGTCGAGGGCTATAACTAAGGACAATCGGTCACACACAACCATGCTTGAAGTATTGTTTCATCCTATTACAACGTATGCGTATTTAGCTAGTTAATCAATAAAACAGAGTACATGATACGCCCAGCAAACTTTGTAGAAAGAAGCCCACATAAAACAATAGGTGAAGTATCTAGTAAAAATGACTTTTCAGTGAAAATTTGAAAATTCCCACGCGAGCCATCAGATCTATAATAGACGCCACGAATTAAAGGCGGGATCCGTAAGCATCCCTATTCACGCAATGATTAGCCAAATCATTTGGGGATTTCCTTACCCAACTCCGAGGCCGAGACTTCCTGCAGTGGCGAGACGCAAGGCGCGACGGCCACAACCGGCAGAGACGGGGACGCGCACCGCGTCAGAGTTCGCTCTCATCAGCGGGGAGGGCTCACGAGAAGCCGGGGCGAAGACATCGTCGGGAGGAAGACGAGGATATCCGTGGCGGCCGAACATGCAGCTTGACCGGCGACGTAGACCGTGTGGCAGGGGAGTGGAATTGCATAGGTTACGCACACGCCGACCGCACCAGCCGTGGGGTGAAGTAAAGTGGTGCCATGCTACCAGCTCCACCAAGTTGTTGCGCCCAGTGATGGCGGGTGTGACCTACGAGTAGCCGCGTCCATCACATTAGTGTTCGGATGCATCGACCTCGAGCGGTAAGGCCAACTCCAATGCGCGACCCCAAATTGTCCAGCCGCGTCCATTTGGAGGTTAACTGACACAAATCGCGACCCAACGCGTGGGAGCAAACGAACAAATGTCCGTTTTTTTCCACCAGTGACCCATTCCCAGCCCAAATTTGGGGCGCATTTGCGTCGAAAAGGACAATGCATGGATGGGCGGGACATGCGCCCTTGTCCTCCCCTGGCTCTCCCGTTGAAGACACAATGTGCCCACTTTCCCTCCATTTCCCAAAACCCTCCCGTGCTCCCCTTCCCTCCCTCCTTCCATGGTCGGTGCTCCGAAGAAACCCGGCTACGAGGCCGCCACCACCTCCCACCCCACGACGAAGAAGAGGAATAAAGAGCAGTTGGAGCTCACGCTGGAGGAGGTCGCGCATCTAGACATTGAATCAGCCAAGAGGAGGGCCTGGCGGACCTGTTGCGGCGGAGAAGATCTCGCTACCGACTTCGCCGCCAAGGCCGCGCCCACATACCACAAGGCCGATTTGGACCAGAACGAGACATCCTCGCCAAGGCCACATAGGCAGCGACGACGTAGGCCCTCGTCATGCTAGGGTTGTGCCGACCCGGGCCGACCATTCTCTCTGTCGTCGCCATGGCCGCGGCGAGCATAGGCTCGTCGCCCGTTCGCCCTCCGTAGTACCAATCGCCGAGCTCCTACATAACACCGGAGACGCTCGGTTTTCATCCGCCGCTATTGCATGGCCAGACCCGGTTCTCCACATCGTCAGACGGCAGCCTAATCACGTCGGCCACCCTCGCCAACCTGGCCTCCATCGACCTCAATGCCACGCCTGGGTACAGTGGCGCTGGCTAGTCGTCCGGCGGTATGCAAAGGAAGCAGCCCCGTCGATTCCTACGGCCAACCTTCCCGACGCCCGGAACCTGTTCCACGAAATGCCCATCCCAACGCCGGTGGTCGACGACCCTAACTACACCGTGTTCATGGAGAACATCATCTAGGAGGGTCATGGCTAGGCCTTCCACCCCGATGGCCAAGGCCAAGGCTTCGATCCAGACAAGACCCAAAGCCAAGACAGTCACGGCCAAGATGGTGTCGACCACTACAGTGCCCACGAAGAAGAAGAGGCCGACGACCATGGCAAGTCATGGCATGAAGATGAGGACATGTATTGTGGAGATGAGGAAGAAGAGGTCGACATTGCGGAGGAGCTATTGTTTATCGATGAGCCCACCCAAAGAGCCTAGGCACAAAGGAGGAAGCAAAGCATTTGCACGGGATCATACAACAAAGAAGAGGACATGTTGATTTGCGAGGGTTGGATAGAAATAGGCCAAGATCCCAAGACCGATGCCGAGCAAAAAGGATTCGTCTTT